TCGAGCCTCAGGCTTTCATCATCCTCGGCGGCCATACCCACACCCTTTACATTCGGCAGTCGTGACCTAGACGAAGAAGAAGAGGAAAATTCGTAAAGATCATCACCATCATCATCGCCCCTTAAAGAACAAGTCGCCGCTACTCAAGACTGCTTCAAACCCCACTCAGAGAAGGTGAGTAATCCAGGATGGTGAGGTTGTTCGGTTTTGTTTTGCATGTTCAGGGTAGAAGAAGGAAATCAGGCCATGCAAGCGAAAAGCTTCAAAACTCGCCAATAATGGCCGCTGGCGGATGAAGAAGAAGAGAAACCCATATGGGTTTGCGTTGTCGAGAAGAAGAAGGGTGTTAACAAAACCCTAAAATTTCTTCAAAACCCTAAAATAGTAAACAATAAACAAAAGGTTCCTGTAGAGTACTACAAAAGTTTAGGGTGCTAGTACCTTCCCTAAGCTTAACCAACCCCTTACCTAGGTCTCTCCCCGCATTGTTTACGATGCAAAAATTAGGTTTTCCTTCTTTTGACCTTTTCCTTCGGATAAATCAAAGTCGGTTGTGAATCAAAGATTTGCGATTCAAACTAATTAATAGGTTGATATCCTATTCTAACCGCAATAGACAGCATCACTATAATAAAGAAAAAGCAGTAAGAATTGGAAGTCGAGTGTATGCTATAATATTAAACTCATCACAATAAACAAGCTCGAGATAGTGTTACCAACCGAACCAAATTGATGTTGCCTCCAGATTATCCCTGTGATGCTCAACGAGATATACTATTGTTGCAGCATCTTGGAGTTGTCTGTGTTGCGCAACTACTATTGTTGTAATGAAAAACACTTTAATGAACTTTCACTTGCGCTATGAGTTGAGGAACACTACTACATACGGTCGAGGACGATTTGTTGTTGTAAGGACGTCCGGAACCGCGACTGAGTTGGTGCATGAACAAGATGAGGGCTCACTCGAATGGTTTATAACAGAACCTGCAGAACAAACTGTTCCCAATGCCGAAATCGCGTAACAAGCTCTTCATGACAGTATAGATACACCCTATTAAAATGACTCTGCGGATTCAACATAACAGGACAGCAACGACAATGACACGCGAGTTGTTGAGGTATTTATGATTGAAACCGCAGAAGATGTCAGATTTGTGATGTTGCTATTATTTCTAAAATCGACTCCGCAGAAATTTCCCTGGATTAATGTTGTTGTTGAAGAGAAGCTTGGCGATGTTGATACTTGATTTCAGAAACGGATTTGAGAGCGATACCGGTGTCTTTGTTGTTTTAGATCGAAGAAAAAAAGAGGACGTTAAGTGTTAAAGGGATGGCGAAGGGAGAGTTGAAGTAGTGTCGCCTTAACGACGAAAACTAGGGATGAGAGGGGTTGAATCGGAGGAGAAGAAGAGGATGGGTCGGAGAAGATGATAATGAGGGTCGAAGGATGAAGAAGAGGAAAAGAAGTTGCGACGGCTGGGTTTGGTTTGAAGTTTGCAATAGAAGAAAAAGAAATGGCGGGTTGGTTTTGTGATTGGAATTGGGGAAAATGAACAGTGGATTCCCCCATTTTATACCAAATTCCCAACCCTAATTTTCCTCAGCCCTCCCCACCGTATCCTATCTCTTTCTTTTTAATTTTCTTTTTTTATTTTATTTTTTTATTTTCTGAATTAACTAACTAATATAAGTTCTAAATTGATTTTTAACTCTAATTTTAAAAAAAAACCTATTCTAATTCTAACTAAGATTCTAATTTAACTATTTTAATCTCTAATCTAATTTAAATAAATTCTAATTCTAAAACTAATCTAATTCTCATTAAATCTGATTAACTAAAAATTCTAATTCTAATTTATTTAATTAATTCAAATTTCTATTCTAAACTAATTCTAATTAATAATCTAGTTCTATTTTTAAAATTAAAAATCTAATCTAATTTCTAAATTGATTTCTAAATCCTAGCTAATTAATTAACTAACATTAAAATTATATTATATTTACATATCATAAAAAATGAAATTATATAAAATAATGATAAATGAATAGAATGCCACGTGTCACAAATTCATTGGGCAAAATGGTGAAAAAGTTTATTTTTGCTGAAAAATACGTTACGCTGTACAAGCGATGCGAATTGAAAAATAAATTCAGGCGAATGGAAATTTGAAACAGGTAGGACAAATTTGGGGTATGACAAGCTCGAGAAAAACTATCTCTTCTACCTCTCTCGTCTGAACCTCTATTTGCTGCTAGTTAGGGTTTTTGAAGGATTTCTTTGAACCCGCATCCAATCTCTCTCTCTCTCGTAATGAATAGTGTCCTATATATATGGTCGGATTGGGGTTTTTTGTATGAAAAATGAAGGTACATCATCAATTCTGAGTCCTGTGAGGGGTGAGGAGCATGCTTGTACAAAAATGGAAATGCTTAGAATTTTTGTCTGTAGCACCAAGTGTGGTCCCCTGTTAAACATCCTCTATATTGTCCCCACAAGTTCTAACTTCTGAATTTTGTAACTGATGACAATTTGGAAAATTTTTTGATTCCGAATTTGTGATATGTCTCTTGATTTGCTGCAGGTATAAACTCTTTGAGGCAAGGTGGATGAACATCACAATGGTGAACATGTTCATGACCTTAATTCCAATGATACTCCTTGGCAAGAATTGTGCTCTTGCTGGTGTTTGCAAGCAACTTTAGGCCAAGATGTCGTCTTCGAGCATCCTATTACTGAAGTTCTAGATTCCTAGGATTCTATTTCACAAATTCGTTCCGTGAATGTTACCAATTAGATTTTGTCCAAATAGCTTCCAATGCTGGATTTTGAATGGATTGAAAATATTTGGATAAAATTTTGAAGTTGAAACTTGGTGTGGTTTTTTTTAATTATATTTTTTGGATTGTGAATATTGGTTTGTGATGAGAATGAATGGTTCTTTTTGTGTGTTTGTAGGTTGATTAGGCACAGAAGCTTGAAAGGGAACAAGAGCTCGCTGCAGGGGCCTTTGAGAAAAAGTCTCCTTGCAAAGAGATCAATATCATCTTGGCAGAAAATTTGGTAGCAGTATAGCAGAGCCAAGGCTGCTGTAACTTCTAGGCTTAGTATAGAAATAGGGTCTGAAAACTTAATCTTTTAAGCATGTCCTTATGTTGTTAACAAAAAAAATTGTAGATTCTTCATCATACAACTTGTAACTGCTTGTGACTCTTTTGTGAATTATCCGTGGATAGTTGAAATGGACACTTCCAGTTGGAATATTATGACTGTCGTAAATGTACTTACGAAATGGCTTCAAAGTTAAGTCATGTAACTTGTAATCACTCAATTATGATTTGAGACAAAATGCAACACTTTTTTTTTCTTCTTGAAATTCTTACTCATGGCTTGCTGCCTTGCAATTTTATCCACCAAAATACATTGACTTGACAAGAAAAATTTACTCGATAGCATTACTTTGATGAGCCTTTGAGAATGATGAAGCTTGAAGCATAGAACTTTAAACATTATGTTCAAGTGATGAACATCAGAAAGACTTAATTTAAAGTCCTCTTGGTCACAAACAATAAGGAAAACATAAGCCTTTTATGCACTTGGGAGATCATCCAGAAGATGGTATTAATTTGATGAGCCTTGTCAAAGAAACCCCTTCTTGCGATGACTATGATTCAAAACCTTGCTTTGAAAGATATTTGAAAACGTGCTTTGAACTTGCATTCCTACTAAACTTATAAGCAACCAATAATTGAACATGAATTAAGACCTTTATCGTAAAGAGTTCATAACCTCATCTTTTACGCCATAATTCACAATTGCGCCTCAACCGACAAAAATATCTTGACTTGACGAAAATTCTTCTTCAATTGATGATCTGATCCAGAGAAACTCCCGATCTCATGTCTTAGAAGACCAATGCAAAGTATAATTATGAATTATGACCTGATGTTGATGCAAATGAATGCGAAGCAAAAGCCAATCAAGGTTGAAAGGGACAGGGAAAATTTTGGGGTGCTACATGTGTGTGTGTGTGTGTGTGTGTGTGTGTGTGTGTGTGTGTGTGTGTGTGTGTGTGTGTGTGTGTGTGTGTGTGTGTGTTTGTGTGTGTGTGTTATATAATAGTATATTTTCTTAAAAATTACCTGAACTCTCTGTTGTGTTAAACTGGATACTCATCCAAGTCCCACATCGAGTAATGTGAAGAAAAAATGAGTAAAATATTATTATAAATATAGAGTTAATTTGATTTTATTTACCACAATAGTTCTAGTCTTTTTGGTGTATTGGGGATTTGGGTAGTTGTGTGTCTAGAGAGGATTTACCATTTTCCCGTACAAAAATTGTGGTGGAGAGAGTTTTCTATTTTTCCGTCCAAAAATAGTTGTTGAGAGGGTTTTCTATTTTTCCGTCCAAAAATAGTTGTTGAGAGGATTTTCTATTTTTTCGTTCAAAAATAGTTGTTGAGAGGGTTTGCAATTTTTTCGTTCAAAAATTGCAAGTTAGTAATAAATTTTTTATTGTGAGTTTATTTTATTTTATTTGTATCAGTTATTGGGGATTCACTCTAGTTATATTCCTATCAACTAGCATCAGAGCAAAGGTTCCGATCAAGGGAGGAAATTACAGGTTTGCTATCATCTTATTTGATTTGTGTTTTATTTCCTTAAAAAATATTATGGCTACATTGAAGTTGGATATTTCTTTGTTTGATGGGAGAATGGATTTCCCCTAATGGAAATGCACGATAGAAGACTATTTGGTCCAACAAGGTCTTGATTGTGCTTTGGAAAAGGAAAAACCAAGTCAGATGAAAGATTCAGATTGGAATTCAATACAAAAAAGGGCAGTGAGTACAATTCGGTTGGCACTTTCTCCACATATTAAAGTGATTGTGTTGAAAGAAACCTCCCCAAAGAAATTGTGGGATTTGTTAGAAAGCAAGTTTGCATCAACCATATTAACCAATCGATTGATGATGAAAATGAATTTATACTCATTGAAGATGGAAGGTGAAGGTAATGTATTTGATCATATTAATAAATTTAATGAGTTGGTATCTAGAATCATGAATGAAGGGGAAGATATCAAAGATGAAGAGCAAGCACTAATTTTGTTGGCTTTACTACCTAAATCTTACAAATCATTAGTGCAGTCAATGTTAGCAGGGAAGAGCACACTACAATTAAATGAAGTAGTGAAATCATTGAAGAAGAGTCAACAAATGATGGGTATTGATCAAAGTCCCAAAGAAAATCAGGTGCTAGTAGCCAAAGGAGGACACAAAAAGAATTATGGTGATCAATATGGTAGAAGTTTTCAACCAAGAGATATGAGTTATGTCAAGTGTCATTACTATCAACAATTTGGTCACGTGTAATCTAGATGTCCAAAATTTATAGAGGATGTGCGAAGCATAAAGAAGAAGACAGAACAATTGTAAAGCGCTCCTTCTGCAATTGTGGTTAGTTGTATAGACGATCCTTTAGATTGTGAGGATGAAGGTGACTATGAAGTGAAAAGATGTGAGACTTTGAATGAAGGGAAGATATGTTGTGTTAAAGTGGTTACTCATCCAAGTCCCACGTCGAGTAATGTGAAGAAAAAAGGAGTAAAAGATTAATATAAATATAGAGTTATATTGTGAATCGGATGTCTTGAAACAAAATATAAACGGTTTCTTTATGATAAAGAAACACACAAGGGTTAGGGTTAACAAAGATAATAAGGTAAAACAACAAGGAACAACAAGGATTGGTTATAAACTGATATTCTTTCCTTACTCTTAGAAAAAGGTTACAAGTATACAAGAATAACAAAATAATCTCTCTCTCTTGAAATTAGGATGTTATCTTCCTATTTTTCCTTATGCCAAGATTGAGAAACTAGCATCCTATTTATAAGAAAAATAGCACACTAAGCTAATGGGATTTTTAACAATAATCCATTACAAGCTAACTTAGCGTACAAGATAAATTAAACAATTGGGTTTACAAGCAAGGCCCAATTCAACATGCTAGCAACCCTAGCAATATTGACTAATGCATGTTAGAATAAACTTCGACTACAACATGCATTACTCCGACAATAGCATGCTAACATTCTTCGACCTCATGCTTAATTCCTGTCAAACCAGAAGCTACCTTTCGACCATACTAGAGTTCGATCAAACATATCACAAATCTCCACCTTGGATCTAATTCTATAACATCAAGATACTAGCTTTCTTCATGCAGATTTATCAACTGCATACAATGGAAAAACTTGCAACTAGGCAACGTCTTGGTGATCATATCAGCAGCATGTGAACATACTTCGATTTCTACTTTACTATCTTCACCCAAGGCTCCACCATAAATTAGGACTCTATTCAGAGACCCATTTATGTATCTTAGAATCCACTTCAATGCTTGCCAATGAGCCTTTCCAAGATTCGCCATGTACCTGCTTACAAGACTTATTGCATATGCTATGTCAGGTCTAGTACATACCATATCATACATCAAAGAACCCACTATATTAGCATATGGAATTCTATTCATATAAGTTCTTTCAACATCAGTGTTGGGACACTGATCTATACTCAACTTGTATTGAGGGTTTGTCGGAGTCACAACAGGCTTTGAATTCGACATACCATACTTTTTGAGAATCTTCCGTAGGTATCTCTTGAGATAAGCATAATTTTGAATGCTTTCTATCTCTTTGGATGTCAATCCTAAGAATCCTGGATGCAGCTCCCAGATCCTTCATGTCAAACTCGTTATTGAGTTCAGCCTTCACCCTAATTACCTCTTCAACATTGTTGCTTGTTATTACAATGTCATCCACATAGAGCAACAAAATAACAAATGAATTACCTGGTCGAAATCTGAAGTAAACACAGTGGTCAAATTAACTTTTGTTGAAACTTATGCGTGCTATGAACTTATCAAATCTCCTATTCCACTGTCGTGGAGATTGTTTCAATTCATATAAGGATCTATTCAGCTTGAATACATAATCTTCCTTCCCTTTTTTGACATAACCTTCAGGTTGCCTCATCAGGATTGTTTCATATAAGTCACCATACAAGAACACATTCTTCACATCCATCTGTCCCAGTTCAAGGTCAAACTGTGCCACTTTTGCAAGAAACATTCGAATGGATGTATGTTTCATAACAGGAGAGAATACATTATTGAGATGGACACCTTATTTCTGAGTGAACCCCCTAGAAACCAATCTTGCCTTGTATCTCTTCGACGCCACTCCTTCGATTCCTTCCTTAACTTTGAAAATCCATTTATAGTTGAATAACCTGGCTCCAGCAGGTTTCTTGATCAGTTCCCAGGTCTTGTTATCATGAAGAGATTTCATTTCATAATCCATGGCCTTTAGCCATTCAGTCTTCTTTCGACTCCTCATAACTTCCTTATAATCTCTAGGTTCTTCATCTAGAACCTCACTTGCAGAGATTAAGGCATAAGCTATAAGATCTGCATACCCAAATCTCTGAGGTGGCTTGATGACTCTCCTTAACCTGTCTCTTGCTAGCAGGTAGTCATTATCAGTCTCCTCATCTTCGACAACATCTTCTGCATTTTCTTTGACTTCATATGGGGTACGCAATTCAACATCAACATGCTCCACCTCAACAGGAAACTCTCTATGTTCCAGCTCTTCGTCAGCACTATCAGTTTTCTTAAAAGCCATCTCTGCTTCATTGAAAACTACATCTTGACTAGTGACACACCTCCTGTGATCTGGCTCTAGGCACCATAGCCTATAAGCTTTGACTCCTTTAGGTTATCCCATGAACATGCATTTCAGAGCTCTAGGTTCGACCTTGTCTTTCCCACAACCAAATACTCTCAGTCTGTCGAGACTAGGTGGATGTCTCGACCAAACTTCTTCAAGTGTCTTCATTCCCAAGGCAGTTGAGGGACATCTATTTATCAGTTAAGTTATTGTCGAAACAACTTCCGCTCAAAACACCTTCTTCAATTCAGCATTAACCAACATGCATATAACCCTTTCAAGGATTGTTCGATTGAATCTCTTAGCTAAGCCATTTTGTTGATGATTACCTGCTACAATATTATGCCTTGCAATCCCAGACTCAACACAGTAACTATCGAATGCTTCATTGAAGAATTCAAGGCCATTGTTAGTTCTCAACCTCTTAACCTTTTTGGCAGTTTGAGTTTCGACCAGAATCTTCCAACTTTTGAAATTCTCAAAAGTTTCATCCTGTCGCACCCTAATTTTTAACCTTAAGATCCCACCTCTCTTTACGCCATCTTACATAACATTTCTAAGACAATCATACCTATATGGCTAACCAAATATTTAAACTTTATTATTTCTATTTATCCATCTTTGAATTAGGGATTTGTTTCAAAGAGGGTCTCAATTCAGGTCGAAGATGGAAGAAGTCTGGTAAAACTTAAATTCGTTCAAGATTACTAGCTTGATCCAAGTTACAACAATTTAAAATTCAATCTTCACTCAAAAGTCAGAATGTCATTCAAATTGCCAAGGGTCGTTACAAAGAGTCCATTAAACAAATGGAAGCTATTGGAGAAGCTCTTGATATGATCAGAGGGTTGACTCCTTTCATAAAAGGCATACATTTGGTCATGATTTTGTTCCCGATCAAATTCATATTGGGGGTTGTGCTATAGTACCATTGATCTTTCATGTCTACAAGTAAGGATTAATGGAAGTGTTTATAATTCCACAAACCAAAACCTTTCAAGGTGCTATACGGTTTGCAAGATCTGAAGGCTTGATACCGGCACCTGAACCAACTCGCTTCATGCCAAAATACCAATTACCTGGAAAAACATTTGTTTTAAGGCAAAGAGAATGCGTACAAAAGGTTATGACACTGTTATATTGATCAAATATTTGGTTTAGCATGAGAAGTATTCAAATTCCAATATGAAGAACATAGCGGAAAAAATGCTGAACAATGTTTAAGACAAATTTCAAACCTAACATGCCAAATACACTTTATATAGTACTAAGAGATATTACAAATCCAAAATAATTCAACATAAAACGCTACGTCGGATATAGCATACAACTATATTTTTTTACTGGATTAATATATGTCATGAAAAAACTACAAGGAAAAGTACAGGAATGCTGTTGATATCCTCAAGAAACAGGATGAAGAAGCTTGTGAATGACAGTCGAGACATTTTTTGAAATTGACAAATCTGGTTCGAAGTACGCCGACATTTTAAACCGTGCGCTGTGCAGGAAGCTTCCAATACTCACGACATCTGAGTGATAAATCCCAAGTCCCCTAAGGCAATTAGATAGATTGAAAGGTTGAACATCGCCATCCCCAAGCTTGAGTGTTTTCCACATGGAATCGATTCATTTTCGCACCCTTTTAGTAAGGACATTAGACCCTGCCATATACACTGCTCAGTCAAGGAAATTAAGTAGCATATTGTTGTACCCCAAAATTTGCCCAACCATTTTCTTAGCTTGGTTTATGTTTCATTTTATTTTTCTTCTAGCATTTGCATTACATAGCATTGTTCATTTAGCAGGGGATCAAGAGAGGTATGCATAGTAATAGGAGTACCAAAGGTTCTAAGCCTAAGTAAGAGGTCTTACTCAAGCATGAGTGCTCATCAAGTCACTAAGAAGTGATTAATGCTCTCTGAAAGAGTTGATGAATGTATGTGGATTATCTCCTAGCTTGGAGGTCAGTTTGGATCATCAGAGGTTTGTGAATTCATGATTATAGATATGGGATGTTGAGGAAGCTCATTGAGTGCTTTGAGGGCCATGGTGGAGCTTATCCAAGTCATTGTATCATGTGTAAGAAGCCACAGTCAAGAGTGGTGCATATAGGGTTTCCATCTGGTCAATCCTAAGTCAACTGTGTTTTTGAAGGAGATTAAGACTCAGTCCTAAGTCATGGTGATCATGGAATGTTGTGTTGAGGCATTTGAGATGTTATTCCAAGATCCACTCAAGAAGAATCAAGAGTGTGAGAAGTTACTAAATTAGGGTTCTTAGTGTAAAATCCCCTATTTAGTGCCTAACTTCAAGACCATATATCTCAAGAAGTAAGTGGAATCTCGCATTGATGAAAATATGAAACTTATAGAGCATGTTTCTAGCTTTCTTTTGAGTACTAGAACTCATCCATTGGATTTCTAAAACTCAAGTTATGATGCTGACAAGTTATGGGTCCTCAGATGAATGTGATTTTGGTCAACAAAAGTCAACCAACTTCCAAGGAATTTTTGACCTAGAATCATGTTTCATCTCACTTTGACCCAAACGTAAAAGTTGTTCCTCATGATCTTAGCTTTCCAAAAAGTACTAGAAGTCCTTCATCTGATTTGTAGAACTCAAGTTATGAAGCTTGCA